CATCTAGCACATCACCCATTCCACTGTTGTGTGACAACATTGGAGCCATAGCTCAAGCTAAGGAGCTACGAGCCCACTCGAAGTCCAAGCACATCGAGAGGAAGTACCATGTACTACGGGAGATAGTTGGTAGAGGAGACGTCTTAATTCAAAAGGTAGCATCAGCGAAAAATGTAGCAGACCCATTGACTAAGCCACTAACATAGAAAGTGTTTGAGAAACACGTGAAAAGTATCAGACCCAGACTTGTACCCAATTAGACCTAAGTGCAAGTAGGAGCTATTAGATAGTATATGCCCTTAGCTCCAATCAGATTGATGTACTTATTATCATTTTTTCTAAATGAATAAAGTGCATAATTGATTTGTGTTATTATGGTATGTTTTTGTGTAATACCCTTAAACTAGACACTTATGAGACTTGTGTTAGTTTAGAATCTTCACAGCCATTGGATAAATCTAGAGAGATTTATCCTACCAAGGCTGACACTGATGTGCCACCAAATTGGTTGGGGTGGCTTGTCTCAGCTGTCAGGGTGAGACCTGAGGTACATGTAGAGTGAGTTTTCTTGAAACCCTGAACTAGACCAAAATTCTAGTATTGCCCTAGACCTTTGAGATAGATGGGCAAAACTGAAATGTTACACCTGACTCCTAGACTAGATTATGATACAAAACTAAGTATCGGATTGGGTTGTTTTTGATATGCCAATCAGTGAGATCCTTTACCGGGTCAAAACCTGGGTATGTTGGGGCAGTCCGAGAATTCACCTGAGTGGGTGATCATAGTAATAGGATCAGCCCCTTTGTCGGACAAAGTGAATGATCGAGGAATGCACTCTCTCTGATGGAAACCTAAACTGCCGGCAGTTGATTTCAAACGTTGAAATTTATTTTCGCAAAATATATTTATATAGAGATATACATATATGTATTATGGTTTAAAAAATGCTTGCAAAATGTTTTAATTATCGGGATCCATGTGAGTAGAGAGTGTAGCACTGTACCTTGTAGCCGAGGGAGAAGTCCTCTCTTGTCGGGTAGTGTTTGATCATTATGGGTTGAGAGGTTAAGTGTAAGGCCATTGAGGGTAATACCTGATGGGCTAATCTTGCATCTGCCCACAATCCTTAGGTTTTCACAAGATGGCTTGACCCAAGGACCATTTAGTGTAAATGTTGGGCCCATTAAGAGTCTATGTTGATGGACTCAGGGGTTTGCTGTGACTTACAATGAATTCGGCCATGCCTTGTAACAAAGGCTAGTCTGAACCCATGTGGCTGATGTGTAGATCAATGCTATGGTCCCACGCCATACAAAGAGAACCAAACTAGCCAACACTTAATGGGTTAAGTAAGCAACATGACTTAATGGGCCTAAAGCCCATTCCGAACTGGGCTTAAATGGTTTAATTAAATTGGGCCAATTTTGGATTTATAATCTGATTGGGATTAGTAGTTGGATAAGATAGGATTTATCAACTTGAGAATCCAGATCTAAATACAAGATTTAGATTAGGAAATGTCATTCCTAATCAGATTAGGAAGCTAATCCTGAATGGATTATAAATAGGGGCGAATTCCATGAAGAGAACACACTCCTCTCTACAATCTATTCTCTCCCTCAGTTCTTGGCACCATCCCAATTCGATCTCCACCTACTGGAGCGATCAAGAAGTGTTCTTGATATTGTTTCTTGGTGAAGAAACAATTAGAAGTCGTGCCCACATCACCCTACTCGATTCTTGGTGAAGAATCTCAGGTTCTTGCTGAAGGACCGTTCCTACTGATCTTGCCTCAACATTTGCTATGTCATCTTCATTGGAGGCGGATTTGGTATCCTCTTTGGGCGTTAACACCTACGTTGGGAATTCCTTTTAATTCTGTATCAGGTATTTCCCTCTCCCTGCCTTTGGTTTAAGATCTAGTCCGGTTTTGTTTCAAGAATAATCCTTAAAAATGCAATTTTCTAAAATAGGGAATGTAATTCTCAGATGGGAGAGAGAGAAATTTTTGAAATTTTGCCCAACCTTCCTGTAGGGTTCGGTCATCCATATGATGGATATCTCATCTTTTCAGAGGATACCCCTTGTACAATACCTCTTTGACGAGCGTGTTACTTGAAATATTCTGAATGTTCCATTAACACAATCAAATGGGTCGGATGGATGGATATGGATTTTGGAGCAGAAGGGTGTTTTCACTATTAAGTCCGATACCATGCTCAAATGCTTGACTTGGTGGAGGGGGCGAGGCTCTCTTTTGGAAGAAATTTTGGAAGTTAAACCACTATCCACGGGTCAAGCTCTTCCTATGAAACTTGTCCATGGGGTGTATGGACATGGGATAAGTTGTTTGGTTCAGTTGAGCAGGCTCTCTGACCATTTGGCTGTGGTGTTGTAGAAATCTCATAGCACCTTTAAATGCAATGTTCTTTCAATAGAGCAGTTTGGTTTGGTTCAATCCTTGTCTGTAGATCAGATCAAGAGGGTGTTTGGTTCTGTGTGTGTTTATTGAAAAAATTCCATCACATTAGCGCTTCATAGGCATTGGCATTTATTGCATATAAAACCACTGTTTGGTTTCACCATTTATCAAATAAATGGTAAAAAATTGAAATACTTTGATTTATGTGCATGGGGCATTTGAGAAAACGTCAAATTCTCATTCTCTCAATGCCCCAACATTTCTTGAAATGAAATGCTTATGTGGCACACTTTTATGGAGTGTTAATCTGAAGTGGAAAAAAAAAACTTTTAAAGTAATGCCCAACCAAACAACTAGTTCGACTGGCCTACACATCTACATGTTACAATGCGGGCTAAACTTCTATCTGCGTTGTAACACGTAGATGGTTTAAGTGACGTATAAAAAAAGTAAAGACGGGACGGGAGTGTTAACTTCCGTTACTTTTTTTTTTACATTTTTTAAACCTAAAAAATAAAAGAAAAGCTTTAAATTTATTTATGGTTTTTGAACCACTGTTGAACCGGACGGTCAGACCATTTGGCCCAAGAATCATCTAGACAACCGGTTTACTTCAAACTTGGTTCCTAGCCAAAACCCTTTGAATCGGTCAATGACCCGTCAACCCGTTCAACAATTTTTGGCCATTTTTTTATTTTAATTATTTTTTAAATTTTTAAATTTTTATGTCAAAATGGGCCATTCGTTTGAATCAAACGGTCAAACCATTGACTCGAAGACCAATGGCCAAAATAGAATGGACCAGACCGGATGGTCAAATAAAAAAAACGTCCATTTTACCCTGGTTGAACAGTTCGACCGTTTGAATCGAACAGATGACCCATTATGACAAAAAAAATTAAATATTAAAAAATGGCCTAAACCATTGGATGTTTTGAAGGCTTGGGTCAACAATTTGATGACCAAATCAACAGTTTTTGGCAAAATAACGGTTTTGGGGTAAAATGGACAATTTTTTTGGTCTAACTGTTTGCCTTGGTCTGTTCTGGCCACCGGTCTTCGAGCCCACGATTCAACCATCCTATTCAAACGAGTGACCCATTTTGACATAAAAATTTAAAAAATTAAAGAAATGTAAAATAAAAAATGACCAAAAATCGTTGAATGAGTCATTAACTGATTCAAAGGTTTTTGGCCAAGAACTAGGTTTAAGATAAAATAGAACCAATTGTTTGGACGATTCTTGGGCCAAACGGTCTGACCATCTAGTTCAACAGTGGTTCAAGAACCATAAATAAACTTAAAGTTTTTCTTTATTTTTTAGGTCAAAAAAATGTGTTAACATTCCCATTTTTACTTTTTTTTTGTACGTCACTTAAACCATCTACGTGTTACAACGCGGATGAAAGTGAATCCACGTTGTAACATGTAGATGTGTAACCCAGCCGAACTCGTCTGTAAGTAGCTGATTCAACTAGCCGAATGGCTGCTAACGATGAATGCTCCGTTTGAAGACCTGTGAATTAACGTGTTCGCCTCGGATTGGAGGGCTCACGCTTCCTATGAACCCACGGGTTCTCAGGATGCAAGCTCCCAAAAGGCCAAAATTCATCATTTCCTGACTCTTGGGCCTGTTTGTTTCCTCTTAATTCTTATTTCTTAAGAGGAATCTTTTAACTTTAAGAGAAAAATGGTTGTTTGTTTCCTCTTATCTCTTATCTCTTAAAGTACAATCATACAAATTTTTGTTTTCCAATGATACCCCAAAAAAGACAATAAAAAACTCTCATATATGGGGTCAAAATGGATATTTGATAATTTTCAGAATTCAAAATTCAAAATTCAGAACAATATTCTTTACATTCAAAATTCAGAGGAATGAAAAGTTCACCAATACCAAAATACCTCTTAATGTAATTATTACACTTTCAAATGTCATATTTCAGAGCAAACGAACTGGCCCTTCGTCTCGCCTAGAACTGAACCTGCACTCCCTACTTTCCTCTTTTTCGACGCTGGACAACTGATTCCAGCGGTTATGTCGTCGTCCGGCGATCTCTCAGCTAATGAAAAATCTGCTCTCTCATTTTTTTTTATTTTTTATTTTTTTTTTTATTACCAGCAGGCAAAGGAGGTACTCACCACCGGGCCAAGCAGCCATCACGTACGACCACCGGCAACATTCAACAGGTATTTTTTTGCCATTTCCTTCTACTATTCATTATATATTTCCATTTTTTTTTTTGTATTTTCCCCAACCAACGAACATGTGTCATGTATTTGTCTTTTTCCCAAACATGGTCTGACGCTTTGTATCTCTGTCTCTCGCAGGAGTCAGAACCGATCGATATGCATAATTGCATATAGTCAGTCTCAGTTTGTTGGAACAATCAAACCCGATCCCGATCCAATTTTAACCGGGATGGGATATGTATAAACCCAAACCGAGTATAAATGGGTCGATCCGGTTCCATTGACTTTCCTAGTGGGGGATCTCCATTCTCCAAAGGATATGTGAACCGTCAGATACGAATCTATTGAAATGTAGGCCGATATTACCGCCTTTTATCAGCTGTATGAATCGAGTCGAGTTGAGCAGCCGTCGCGACCAAGGCAAAAGCAGAAGCTCTTCTTAGGTTGATACCAACTGAGTAGTGAGTACTGAAGCAGCATCTATCTCCATGGCAGCGAGCTCTGCCATCAAAGAGCTGAATCGGGATTCGACGAACTGGGCTAAAGTAGTGGAAGAGATGGTGAAGCTTGAGAGAAAATTATTCCCCAAGCACGAATCGCTTGCCAGATCCTTCGACGACGAAGTGAAAAGGAAGAACTCCGGGTTGCTGTACGCGGAGGTGGAAGGGGAAATTGCAGGCTACGTGATGTTTTCGTGGCCATCTTCCTTGTATGCTTCAATCACCAAACTTGCAGGTTCCTAAACCCCTCTCTTTCTTTCTTTCTTTCCTGTGAATTTAAATTTCCCCCTTTCCTAGGAAGAAAACGAGGGGCAGATCAAATGAGAAAAGGCTTTTTTTTTTTTCTCTCGTTTTTCCCCTGCGAATTTGGAATTATATTCAGTTGGAATTGGAATTGGAAGAAGAGGGAAATGCTCATTTCCCTGAATCCGTTAGTGTCCGAAAAAAATCGAAAGATATGGTTTCTTTGTCTGAATTTGAGTCTGATTTTTATTATCTTCTCTAAATAGTGAAGGAGAAGTTTAGAAGGCAAGGGCATGGAGAAGCACTACTAAAAGCAGCAATCCAGAGATGCAGAAGCAGAAAAATCCAGCGTGTTTGCCTTCACGTTGATCCTACAAGAACTGCTGCCGTTGGTCTCTATCGCAAATTGGGCTTTCAAATCGACAAGCTAGTTGAATGCTATTATTCTTCCGATCGGAATGCCTACAGAATGTATTTGGATTTTGACAGTGATTAGTCTTGATATGAACGGATCCAAAACTTGTTTCCTGTTTCTCGAATTCATGGATGTGCCCAATGCAATTTCCCGTTTTGTGTGTCTTGAGAACAGTGTGCATTGATCCTCCATTTCTTCTTCTTTTGCAGACGAAAATGTCGAAGCGGAAGCATTTGATTAGTGAGCATTCAATAAAACAATTCGGTGCATTTTTATTTTAGTGTTCTCAGTTCTCGTCGGAAGCATCAAATTACAGTTGCTGAAACCCTTTTATCCCATAATTCACTGGTTGCTGACGCCTAACTATTAGGCTGCGTTTGGGAGTGTTTTTAGCAAACGGACTTGTGAAATAAGCACTTTTTGAAATGTTTTCTTTTTTCTTTTTTTTTTGAAAAAGTGCTTTTTTAGTGTTTGGTTGATCACTAGCCTTTTGGTTCAAAATAGCGTGTTGCTTAGACTCAGTTCGGAAGTAGTACAACTAAAAGAAAGTGCTTTTTTTAATGGGGTATGGGTTGATCCTATAAGAATTGCTTATTAGAACTTGAACCGGCTCGGCATGGCTTGGCACGATGATCCACGGGCCGTGCCAGGCCTGACACGATCATGCGGGCCATGTTGGGGCTGGGGTTTTAGGTCCACAGGCCGGCACGACCGAGTAGGTTGTGTCGCCCACAACCTGACCCAACACGACCCATATATATTATTTATATAATATTATATAAATTATAATTATATAATAATATATAGTATATAATATATTAATAAAATAAATATTTTGTTTTTAATTTTATTATACTAATTTATTTAATTATTGTATATATAAGCAATTGTATACACAATTCATATAAAATTAAAATTTAAGTTTTTTGTCAATTTTTTTTTAAATAAATAGCTTTGGCCCGACCTGGCCCAAGGCTCGGCCCACGGGCCAGCCTGGCTTGTGGCACAACACAGCACGACACAGGCCCGCATGGACCTGGTCCAAGGGCCGTGCCGGGCTAACCCCCAAAATTTTCACTGGGGAGGGCAGCACGGCCCGTAACGGCCCGCAAGCCAACACAACACGGCCTGACTTTGCGCGGGTCACCCACAGGCCATGTCGTGTCGACCCATCCCGACCCACTTTACACATTTGCTATTGATCCTATGATTTCTTAGGCTTGGAGAGGAGTTCTAAATTCTAGAGACTTAAAAGGGGTATGGGTTGGATTGTTGGCAATGGAAAGAGTATTTAAGTTTTGGAAAGATAATTGGTTGGACTCGGCTCCAATTGAAGGAATATTGAATAGAAACCCTTCGGGGGTTGAAATTGAGCATGAGGAGTTGCTAGTGAATGATGTTATTAATCATGAAAGACATATTTGGGAGGAGAATAAGATCTGTAAATTAGTTACCCTCAATATTTGGAATGGCATTAAAACCATCTTTATCCCCTCTGACTCAAATGAGGATATGTTGATATGGAGGTTGAATCCCAACTATTAAATCGGCCTATAAAGAAGCTATTATCATGCACAGGGGTCAGAATGATCTTAACCTTCAGGTCAACAAGATTTGGGGGTTTAAAATTCCTCCTAAAATCAAAACTTTTTTATACCTGTTGTTTAATTCTAGGCTGCCTTCAAAAACCTTCTTGAGGTCTTTAGGTCTTTCCATTGATGTTGGTTGTGTAACTTCTGCGATGGAATTGAAGACATAGATCATATTTTTAAAAATTGTTCTATTGCTAAACAAATCTAGAGTATCTTAAACCCAAATATTAAGGGGCCTAGTAAAAATGACTCCTCACTTGGGGAGTGGTGGGATGGCATATTTTCCAATAAGATTGATTCTACGATCCATGTGAAATCCTACTTTATCTTGTGGCAGATTTGGAAGAATAGAAACGAAAAAAACCTTCCATAACCGTTGTTGCCACCCTTCGATCATTATTAATAGAGCTTTGTCTCTATATTTTAATCACAATGATGAGAACTGTTCTAACTCCGGTCCTATTCAGACTAAATATTAGAAACCAATCAAATGGAAAGCTTCAAAAGAGGGTTCTATCTACACGTCTAGAAATGATAAAGGTGATTGTGCAATTAGTTGCATTCCAATAAATCAATGGGGGAATGTTCTTGAGACCAAAGCTTATTTCCTCAATTAATGTAGCGTAGGCTTGGGTTGCATGGGAGGCCCATAACATTGCTCTTAACTATAGGGGACTGCCCGTGGAGATTGAAGACCATCATCAAGGAGTGTTTGAAGCTCACTGGAGATTTGGAATGTGGAGTCACCTACAATCACGTTTATAGAGAGGCCAATCAAGCTCATCAATGAGTGTTTGAACCTGGCTGGAGATTTGGAATGTGGAATCACCTACAATCACGTTTATAGAGAGGCCAATCAAACTATGGATTAGATGTCAAATCAAGCTCTTTCTTTAGCTCCTCTTATTTCTATCAAAAAAAGTGTTTTTTAAATGGTTTGAGCTTTTTTTCACTGACTTTACTTTTGATTTTCCCAAACATGAAAAAAAAAACAGAGAGAGAAAAACTCGCAGACGCGGCCTTAAAATAATGAATTGGATTGAATGTTTTTACCATCACTCAGACAAATTTCGAGATGATGACAATTATCGCCCCACAAACTCCGACTCCAGAATCCCGCCTTGTCTGCCATTTATCAAGTCTCGCATAAAATCACTAATTAGTGAGTTTGAACTTTGAACTACAAGAATCTAATCAGCCATCGACCAGAAAAGCCCTTCTTGTATTGAGTTTGGGGCCAACTGGAACAGCATCCATCTCCATCTCCATAGCGAGTCCTATCCATCTGTCATCAAAGAGCGCAATCGAGATTCATCGCACTATGCTGAAGTAGTGGAAGAGGTTTCAAAGTTAAGCCAGCCAGAGAGAGAGAGAACTGTTCCCTTGAGGATTGAGGACTGCCCCCGTTGGTCTATTGTGCAAATTGAGCTTTTAAATCTATAAGCTAGTTTAATGCCTACGGAGTTTTCACGATGATCACTGATGTAGGGTGATTTGGCCCGACCTCGTAGCATGGGGACATGTGTATATGACCTGGCATAAGCGACAACCCAGCACGACAGCCTAGCCACAATTCGGCGTAACAAGCTCGCCAAGTCC